CATCAACATTTAACATTGATGAATGGGCGAATTTGGAAACAAAATGAAAAAAGAAAAGGAGAAAAAAACTATCTTCTTAGCTTGCTTGAAGAACTTGAAATTGCCTGCTGTAGATATCTTAGAGTCTTTTGATGATTAAGGAATCCCATAAACCAAAACTCAAAACCATGCACTGCACTTTGATTTTCCCTTCACAGTTTCTGTTAGTTTCGGGCTTAGGCTCACTGCACAAATAAAGGACATTACAACCAATACTTTCTACGGTATATACATGTAAATTGTGCTTCTTGCACGAATTTGTGTACTTCATTGACTCACATATCTGTGTTCTTTAGATTTACACTAGTGTTTGGCCATGACTTCACTTGCAAATACTGAAGGTGAAGTTTGGCCATCCGTATTTGCAGATAGTGGAACTTTTTAGCATTTGAAAGACGGGTGAAATATTGAAAAGCTTGTCTGAGTAGCATTTCAAGTGAGATAATTGTTTTTTACTCACAAAACCGTAATTATTTTTCCACGGAGAACTAATGTCCAGACACAATTAATCTTTTGAAGTATTTAATGGAGAATATAAGTGCTTACCATGCTCCCGGATGCCTTGTGCAAGACAGTCCATCCTTTCTCCGAATTTATTCATCTTACCAATGACAGATTTTCCTGCATATTCAAGAATATTTTTATTTTTATGATCTCTTCATTCTAGGGTCATACGACAAGATCAAGTTGATTCTTCATCATGAGACAGATGAAATACTCACTTTGCTTTATTTTAGATAAGTTCTTTGAAGTTGCATATGGAATAATATGGTCTTCACTTGCAGATAGAACCAGTAGTCTTTTTGGCTGCCTTTCAAGTGAGCATACTGCTGAACTCATGGGAATACCCACCACAGTTCCCATGCATGTGCTTTTTAGAATTTTCTTTTGTACCAAGAAGAAAAAGGTTGTCAGGAAGATGGGAGTGTTTTCAATAAATCTTTTTATTGATTGAAATTTGAAATATTCAAAAATCAAAGTGCAGTGCATGTTCAACCTCCCCCTTTATTTTTTTTTTTTTTTTTTTTTATCCCTTTGCTTGCATCAGTCCATCAATATATATCTTTTTTTCTTGCTCTTAAAGGTATTGAAAATGTCTTCTTTTAGCTGTCTGCTCAATTACAGTAAACTAATGTCATTGCTGACTTATTTCTTTATCAAGATTTGTGTGCATATGTGGTGTGTTTAACTTTTGAGTTGGCAGATTTGCTTTATGATGCAACCTACTTTTGTAAGTTGAGCAAAAGTAAGTGTTCTGATACATTTTTCATTTGTTTCTTCCAAAATACTTAGCAAGTTATAAAGAAGTTATCTTTAATACTCCCAATAATACATATTATGTGGCATTATTCTTATTAGTCCGTTCAAAGAGAATGACACATTTTTTTGGAAATAATACAACTTAAAAATTTTCATTTTATGCTAAATGGCAATATGCTTTTATGGTGACAAAATTTTTGTTGTAGGTTTAGGACCATAAGTACAAAATTTTTTTTTTTCTTAAACTTCATGTCGAGTCAAACTCTATCACATAAACTGGCTCAGAGAGAATAATATTTTTGGAGGTTTGCACTGTGTTTTCATTCGTTTTTCGAATTATACTATCCAACAAGCTAGTTGGTCATTTTTTGTCAGAAAATGAGTTTAGTTACGGAGAACTTAAATAAAATGAAGTGAACCTCTATTACATGCAAAACGAAGAGCATACATGTTACACGAAAAAAATCTCAAGAAGGATATTATAATTAAATTAAAATATAATAAGGCTTATGCCTTTTTCTTTTGGATTGTAGGGTTTAGGTATATGGTATCCTACTCTCTTGGTTTCACTATATATGAGGCTGCTGAGATATTGAGAATGATGTGAAGGGGACGGATGAATCAAGATTCACCATAGATTTCATTAAAATGATAGCATGACTATGGCCAAGTCCCAAAAGATGGATTAGCCTTTCGTTTGCATTGTTTTTACAATAAGTCTATACATCCATATTTACTATTAACTCCTAAGGCTCAAAGCCTACAAAACCTAAGACCTCCTTGAGCAATGGAGCTAGTTACAAGTTTGAACTGATCTGTAAATTCCTTTCTTCATCAACATTTAACATTGATGAATGGGCGAATTTGGAAACAAAATGAAAAAAGAAAAGGAGAAAAAAACTATCTTCTTAGCTTGCTTGAAGAACATGAAATTGCCTGCTGTAGATATCTTAGAGTCTTTTGATGATTAAGGAATCCCATAAACCAGAACTCAAAATCATCCTCTGTAACTACTTGTATATACTTCTGTGATCGCTTTTCCATATTTTCACTCTCTTTTGCTTTCTTTGTTTTATTTATTGGGATCAATACCTGCAATTGTTAACCGGCCTATTAGATTATGCTTTACATGGATAGAAAATTAGAGATGAAAGAAAACCAGAGAAGAGGGGTACCTTGTAACGGATTTTAAGCAACTTTCCAGTTGGAGATAAGAGCTTTATTGATCGCTCACTGCAGAAAGCAATCTTATCAGTAGAGATGAAGAGAAGGCCTGCCATTGGACCAGCTGTCGTTGATAAATAGCATTGAGAAACCTTCAATAGCTTTTCATCATCTTTAACCTTAAACTTCTGCTTGAATATTCTTTCCAACCCTCCTACTTGAAGAATTTTGGCCCCAAGGCTCAATTTTCCCTTCACAGTTTCTGTTAGCTTCGGGCTTAGGCTCACTGCACAATTTAAGTTGAAACATTGTCATTAAAATCAATATTTTCTATCGTATATACATGTAAATAGTGCTTCTTGCATGGTTTTGTACATCAACACTTTAGATTTACATTCTTTGCGTTTGGCCATGCTTCACTTTCAAATACTGAAATCATTATATGCAAGTTGAAATTTGATTACCAGTATTTCCAATATTGAAAAACTTGTTGGATGAGTATGTCACGTGAAAATTGGTTTTAAGACACTAAACATCAAAAACAAATTCCAAGTTCGTTCATGTCCAAACACAACTGAATCAAATACTCTTTTTCATCTTCAATTTCTTATACTTTTTTTAATGTCGTATATCAAGAATATAACTATATAAGTGCTTACCATGTTCGCGAATGCCTTGTGCAAGACAGTCCATCCTTTCTCCCAGTTTGGTCATCTTACCAATCACAGATTTTCCTGCATATTCAAGAATATTGTTATCTTTAAGATTTCTTCATTCAAGGGTCATTAATACTCAGCACTAGTACAAGAACAAGTTGATTATTCTTAGTCAAGAGACAGCGGAAATACTCACTTTGCTTTAATTTAGATAAAATCTTTGAAGTTGCAGATGGAATATGGTCTTGGCAAGGAGATAGGGATAATAGTCTTTTTGGTTGCTTTTCAAATGAGCATACAGCTGAATTCATTGGAATATTCACCACATTTTTACTGAGTAAGTTCTTCATTGTGATTCTGATTCTGCAGTGGAATATTGTTGTATTGTAATGGTCAGTGAGAAATATTTAAGTTTTGGTTGATGGTTTTAGAACATTTCTTGTATCATTATATATAAGGGTTTGAGGAGAAGTTGATGAATCTTTTAACTAATTGTTGCATGAGTCACCTTTGGGTCATCAACAACCATAAAAGATAATGCATGTGCTTTTTTAGAATTTTCTTTTGTACCAAGAAGAAAAGGTTGTCTGGAAGATGGAATATCGGCTGAGATTTTCAAAAGTTACAGTGTCTTCCATAATCTTTTTGTGAATTGTAATTTGAAATATACAAAAATTTAAGTGCAGTGCATGTTCCCCCTTTCTTTCCTTTCTTTGTTTTTTCCTTTGCTTTCTGTCCATCTCTCTCTCGTAATAGTGGTGTCCCGGGCAGTTTGTCGGCACCTCAACTATTCCTTCGACTAGTACCTACAATCTCCCATCAACATAAGTACTAACTAGTCGTTTGGTACCTGGACTATATTATTCCAAGATTATCTCACCTAGACTAATTTATCTAACCTCGGAGGTGGGATAAAATAATACCAAGTTTGATGGGATAAATGTGGGATAAGATAGGATATCTAGGATTAAGTCTGTGACTAAGTTTATACTATGTTTGATTGACGGTATAAATTTATGCCGCATATCAAACGACCCTAATGCTACCCACCAAATAGCTAGATGAGAAGAAATCAAGTTGCGTTTTTAGTTTTGCTTGAATTAAATCCTCGTCTCTCATGGTTTTAATCTATGTCTTATTATTGCTGCATATGTTTTGAAAATGTCTTTCTTTTAGTTGTATGATCAATTACAGTAAACAAATCTCATTGCTGACTAATTTTGCTATCAAGATTTGGGTGCGTTTCTAACTTTTGAGCTGGCAGATTTGCATGCAACCTACTTTTGTAAGTTGAGCAAAAGTAAGAGAAACCTATGCGTTTTGATGTCATCTTGTCAAAACCTGAGCGATCTTTTTACTTTTCTATGCAAATCGACTCGCGTGTAATTCATTTTTTAACCATAATCTTATTTAGTATCTTCTAATGGTTAAAATCCCAATTGGTATTATCATAAGGCACTTTAACTTTTATGGATCCGAGTTGATAATTTTTTATTTGTAAAAGGATTGAATAAGCATTTATTTGAAATAAAACTAATAGTTTGACTTTATACATGAGTGGCGGAGCCAGAATTTTCACTAAGAATGTGAAAATATAAATAAGTAAATTCACGAAAAAATTATGGGGTGTCAATATAATATATATACATAAAAGTCTTTTATCTATCTATACAATGTAATTTTCCTACGAAGATGTTGAATTGTCTTTAGTGAGAAGCAAGTTGTTTTGGTTGGATGTTAATGTTATTTTATCCGTTAAAACTTACCCGTACACAGTGTTATGACACATGTCTTCACATATGTTGTTATCATTAAACCGTAGTTGATTAATGCACATTATCAACAACAACAATAAATTCAATGTAATTTTATAAGTGAGGTAAGAGGAGAATAGTGTGTAGGCAGATTTTATCTCTATAGTGTGAAGTTAGAGAAACTGTTTTGAATAGACTCTCGTTGCACATTAAAAGATTTCAATCTGTGCGTAGGGCCAACAGATCTTGTGCTTGTCTGTATTATATTAACTTCTCTTTTAAGGCAGCAGTTACCTTTTTTTTATATCATCTTGTTGAGGTGTAAAGGCAGATCTGTAGGCCATTGTATGCTGACTTTATGTTGAACCACGTACGCATGACTAGTGATTTGAAATTTCTGAGTAATGCTTTGTAATTTGACGTACTTTTGCCTTTGGACGACAATAACTTGTAGAATCTAAAGAAACAAAAAGTATTTAGAGGTGAACTTTATGCACAAAAAATAAGTATATTTTCGGATGCATTCTCATACGCCTCTTTCGGCATAATTAATAAGTTACTTTAAAAGTATTTTTATTGTTTTGCCATGTGTTTGGATTTGTTTTTTCGAATTATGTGTTATCCAACAAGCTAGTTGGTCAAACTTTTATCGAATGTGTAAGTTACTCAAAACTTAAAATAATATGAAATCAACCTCTATTATGTACAAAACGAGAATAGAGATACACAAGTGTCATAGGAGATAGTTATTAATTCATAATTTAGTAGATCTTATAATTATTTATTTTCGACTGTGGGGGCCTTGGGGATGAGTTCCCTTCTCTCTTATGTCACTACTTGCTAGATATATACAAATGGACATGCATAACTATTTGATAGAGTAGTAAGTACTTACTCATTCTTAAATCGGATGTCGAGTTTGGGTGTGGAGTCGCTTTTGTTAGGGAGTACTTTACCCTCAAATGTGAAACTTTCTGACTTCCGGTACAAATTCAACTTTTAGTCGAGTCACAATACAAATATCAAACGCTGGATAGAAAATATATCGGTCCCAATACTAATATTGGTTGAGTTGAGGTTGCGGTCTAATGATTGCAAATTTATTGTGTTAGTTAACATTTTACTAAGGATATTACAACAAACTTGTTTTCTTTGGGAGAGACCACCCCGTCATTTTCAAATTATCTCCTTTTCCACACATCTTGAATGATCTTTTCACAATTTAAAAGTGGTTCCTTTTCTCTTACCAATTTATTAAATGAGATAAAGCTTAGTTTAACGTTTTAAAATTTTGATATAAGATCATTTGAGAATCTTAGATTTAAAGCTCTTAGATGATAGATGCATCATTTTTTATTCAATAATGTGTTATCGTTAGGAGGCCACAGGTTCGAGCCGTGAAAATAATCTCTTTCAAAAATGCATGTTAAGGTTACGTACAATAGATCTTTGTGGTCCGGTATTTACCCGTACCTAGCGCATAACAGGAACTTAGTTCACCGGGCTGCCCTTTTAATGTGTTATCGCCTTTAGTTTCGGTTTTTTTCCCCTTTCTCGTCTCAATGGATTAAAAAAACATTCAAGAAATGAACAATATAAAAAGCGGAAGTTACACAATTGATAGGATATGTGCTCCTATTCAAGGATGTCGAGTGGCTGGTTTCTTCACATTCTCACTTGCTTTGTCACTACAGAAGGCAATTTTCTCATAAGAAACAAAGAGCGAAGGCCTATGAAAGCAGAGCCGGAATTTAAAGTTTATAGGTTCAGGAATCTAGTCCGTTTAATTTACTGAGTTCTAAATTAATAATTTACACATATTCAATAGATTGTACATATTCAATGGATTAAAGTTACTGGATTCGGCCAAACCCGTAACATGTAAGTTCTAGCTCCGCCACTGCCATGCAATTGAACCTGCTGTTGTTGATAAGCATTGAGAAACCTTTAACAATATACCACTTAGATATATAGTAGTGTTACGGGAACATAATGCACTTTGGAGGCAAATTGGTCCAAAAGTTTATCGAACAATCAGATGAACAAAGCCGAAGTCAAAGTCGTGCGACGACGACGATGCGAGGTTTGCCTTCTTTTCAACTCTTTAAGAGCTAGAAGAAGTACAATTGTATATATATCCATCAAAACTNGGGGGGGGAGAGGCTACATGATGCACTTTGGAATTGTAATCTGTGATGATTGTGCTTGTGCTCACCATATTCCAAAATTCCAATTTTATTTTTGAATTAATAAGGATTTAGTTGGATGATTTTTAAGTGATAAAATTAAAATAGTGATTTTTGTGTGATAACAGATGATTTTTTATCCACAAGCATGGCAAATATTTTTTGTATACTTGATCACGCCCAAATATGCCTCCTAAAAGGTCTGGCGGTCGTTGCAAATATAATCCGGTTTACAACTCCGAAGTCGAATGTCACAGGGAATTAACCTACTAATTACAACCACTAGTTCCGCACGAATTCAAGTATTCAACCTTCAGAAATTTTAAATAACGATTTGAATGTTTACTAACTAAGAGCAAAGTAATTAAAATGCAGTAGTTTATAACTAACAGAGTAAATATTGTAGACAAGAATTGGAAAAGTCTAGGGTTATAATTTTTTCTATTGTCGGAATCTCCCCCACCACGTTACCTATAAATTCATCTAAGTATTCTCTACCAATCGTGAGTACTTTGGGTGTCGTAGCTCTCTCTCGTGTAACTACCACAATTTAATAGACGTATTCTCTCTAACTACGCTAGCTGACTCTAATTCACCGCTCACTGTGATCGCACTAAGGTTTTGTTATCTATAATCCCGTCTTTAAACCCTCTGTATTGATCTCTCAAATACGTTAGGAGTGGTGTTATTTGACAGCTACCTAAATGTGTACTCTCTCTCTCGAGCAATATACACACTAAATAGGCTCAGTTAATTGAGAGTTCTTCAATCAACAATAATGAAAATATAGTTGAAAAAGTAAAGAAAAATCAAAGGCAAAAATATATTAAATGTAGTAGAAATCATCGTCCAATTAGTTCCATCAAACCCTAGATTAGAAAGTTTAGCTACTCATAAATGTATCAACAATCAACATGATGTTTAAAGGCATTAAACTATAAAGTATAGAGATGAACGGAAGGGAAACTCGTTTTGCTTCTTGCTCCACCGTACTATCTCGCCTTTTTCTTCTCCAAAATAGTGTACCGCCCTTTCTCAACTCATATGGAAAGTATTTATATGTTAGGGTCAAAGTCCTTGAGTCCAAATCCGGGTCAGAGTCTTTTAACCCGCGACTTTTAATCACCTGGCTATAGACCTCGCGAAGCCTGGTCTATAGCGCGGTCTACCTGGCTATATACCTCGCGAAGCCTGGTCTATAGCGCGGTCAACCTGGCTATAAACCTTGCGAAGCCTGGTCTGTAGCACGGTTTGGGTACTTGATACTTTTGCACTCTTTTCTTGTATTTTTGTCCTCTTTTTGTGCAACTTTCATTCGACTATTTCTTTCGATATTTCTACACATAAAATAACACAATTTAGTTCAAATGTCGCACAATAATTCACTAAATCAACAAAATATAGGGCGAGTAATGTGCTAAAGGTATAGCATTTTGGCCGAACATCACTACCCCACACTTAAACGTTGCTCGTCCTCGAGTCAACCACCAATTCACACTAACA